ATGAATAAGACTTTAGCTAGATCTGTTCTGTCTTACCCAGTGACAGCTCTGACATGCTATGACATAACCACCCAGAAGCAAACACTATGCTCTTGGACCTCCAATCCTCCAGATTCATGACCCAAATAAACTTCAATGCTTTATAATAACACAGCATCTAGTATTTCGTTATGGTAACTTCAGGTCTTTTTCTTTTTAATATAGCTTCTAAAACATGAACTATGTGTTCTCTGATTTTAGCCCAGTGTCCAAATATAGTACTTTATACATCCTGAGTTAGCAGATCATCCTGAAGTCCAGTACATCCCCTGAACCCAAAACATTGACCAGAATTTGGGATTTACGTGGTCCTTCACTTCTTAGGTATTGTCTAGCTAACTAAAATGAATAGGAGACATACTTAGAGGACCCAGTGTGGTGTTCTCAAGTGTCTTCTGATGCTCCCAGAGGTGGGGCAGCTGAGCATGCGTCACTGTGTGAAGCCTGGGCCCTAAGAGACCTCAAGTGAGGAGAAGGGACTCATGCTGTAGGACAGGAGACACCACTGCTCCCATAAGGCTCAATGACAGGAGCAATGGCATGTGTGCACAGCCCGGGGCAGAAAACCATATGCCTAAACCTCAAATGTTAGCATCCATAGCCTTAATGCTGAGATGTCCTCAGGGAGGACTCAAGCCATATCCATCTTCCAAGGGATGCTGGGCTGGAATCTTGGGGACCTAGGGTTGTGTTTAGAACTTGCTTCTCACTGTTAGTCACATTGAAACCATCGGCCATCAACTTGAGCACTCACCTGTCATCACTGAGACTGAATGGGGAGGGGATGGGGGGTGAGCCTACTGCAGAGCCAGGTTTAAGGGTGGAAACAAGTAGATCCCATCTCATTCAGGTTAGTGAGGGGCATGGCCAGCCATGTCCTCCACCCCACCGCAGTGTGCGCACGCGCACTGGGTCTAGTTGTAGGAGGAGCGCAAAATCGCACATCCTCCTTGTCGCTCTGCTAAATGACACTGTGCTAGTTTTATGTATATCATTTTCAATCCAGTTTTATAAGATAATCCTAAAAACAAACAGTGGAAACCATTGTTTTCCAGGGAGAGCTGAAGTTGTACGATGCATACTTGTTCATGTCCCTTCAGAACACATGGGACTCACACTGTTGGGAAAATAACATCTCCCTGGGACGTTCCCTAGAGACCAAGCTCCACAGAGCAGGTCTCAACATGTTCCTTCCAGGCAGAATGGTCACAGGGAACAACAGCCTACTGGTTGACCAGTAATCTCTAAGAAGCAGGTCCTAGCATGATCCTGTCAAGCTGTGTAATGTGGCCATGCTTGACAGCCTTTTAATTAATGGATTTCTTTTGGGCACTTCTGATGACATAGACAAAAGCCGTGTCTTTCTTGAGTTTTATTTTATTCTGCTGGATTTGTTTCACTTAAAGAAATAAAAAACCCAGATCTGATGGTCCATGCAAGCCCATAGGCTCAATTATACCTCTAAATTCTAGTCAAATGTGAGCTGTTACAACTTAAACTCCAGCCAAGAGTCACTCACTGGTCAGATGGAGGATTTTTTAAGTCATGTAAAAGCCATATCTCAGGCTTCCCCAGTCCTAACCTTGCTTCTGAGAACACAGGCTAGATTTGAGGAAACAATGTTCTGAGCCTTCCTTGGTGATTAAACCTCTGTGGGTATTTAGTTTGTTGATTTTTGCCCAACCCCAATCCCCACTGCATGCATGTGAAGTTACCTTTGCTAGTCGTGAGTGGAGAAGAAAACCATATCTCTTACTATACAGATATAGATAGATAGATAGATAGATAGATAGATAGATAGATAGATAGAGACATAGACATAGACAGACATAGACACAGACACAGACACAGACACAGACACAGACACAGACACAGACACAGACACAGACATAGATATAGATATATTTGGGGATCATCCTATAGTCTGGAGACCTAGTTAATACTTCTTTAAGGGAAGAAAAATAATCAATAATTAATTGAAAAGATAATCGATTAATGATTAGCCATTAGTTTGACACACAGCACTCAAGGGGGTCTCCCTTGGCCTGCTGCTGTGTATGCTATAGCTCCTTTACAAAAATGCATCCTTGTATATTCACTGAATAAAACAAATGACAAGTTAATAACACAATAACGCTCATAATGATGAGTGATGCAGTCTACCAGATGGCCGAAATCATAAGCTGTCTTAGTAATGACTTACTGATGATATTATTAGTCCGTGTCACTAGGCAGCCAACTTTCTAGTGCATATTATAGTAAGTAATAGTTAAATAAATTTACATGTAATAATATATAAAATATTATGATCAATCTATTGGTTTGTTAAAAATAAGAAAAACAGTGAAGGCGGAAAGGTCACAGACAGAATGCAGGCAGCAACATGCCATGTTTGGAAGAAAGACTTCAAATAACAACTCTGGAGACTCAACAAGTCATCTGGGTCCCAGGAAAACTACCATGACCATGCCCCTTAACTCAGGACTACGCTGATCAGTGAGTGTATCACTGTAGACTAAGGAGTCCACCCGTAAGGAGCCCCTGGAAGAGCCTAGACAAGGTTGAGCTAGTAACAAAATGTAATTCTGACCTAACTTTAGGGTTTACCAATACAGTATTACAACTCTAGAAGACATGGTGGTACAAAGGTTTTTTTGTTTTCCTTTTGCTTGTCTATTGCTTTGGGTTTCATTGTTTCTTCTTTGTTTTTCAGAGAGGTGGATTTCAGAGAGGTGGATTAGTAGGATCAACAGAAATCAAGAGCCTTATCGAAGTGAGACAGGTCTTAAATGACCCGAAGGAGCTACCTGACCTCACTGTTGGGAGATCTGCTTGTTTTCTTAAAGAAGAGGAGGGACACGCAGGGAGCCAAGACTCATCCAATGTCCCATGTGCACCCACTGTGTGCAAGCTCCCCTCCCAGCCACCCCGACTTTGCCCTAACCAACCACCTTGAAACAATACCCATAATAATAGCTGTTTGAGTTTCTATAACATTCTCATCCCCAGAAATGGAAGATAATTCAATACCTAGAAGGAGATTCCCTTACAAAATGGCAGGAGTAGAAGCAGGGAGAACTCCTTGTACCACATCAAAGAAGCTGGGGTGGGGGAAAGCAGAGGCAGGGGAATACTCCCTTACACTACTAATACTGAGCCAGTCACAACTCCAGAGGCTAAGTGTGACCTATTCCTGAGACTTCATAATAATCTCTAGGGGAAGGAGCCCGTTGCTGTGAAAGGAACCAACTAGTATGAGGAAAGTGACCATGCCAGGATTTGCTCCAGACCCACTGGCCAGTTCCTCATTCAAAGCCTCATCGGTTCCACACTTGCAATCTGCACTGGGAACGTAATGATACATTTAATCTTCCCAAGGAAGAGGCAAACATAGGTGAAGTCCTCAAGGACTTCTGCATGCTGCTGACAAGTGGAGGCATAGTCAGGGCATGGGGGAGAGTCCACTCGGGCAGAGGGTGAAGTGCATACACAGTTTCAAGGCTGGGAGGATCAGTAATGCAGTTCTCCCCTGGTACACAGTACCTTCCTACAGCTGCCACTGCAGTGCCATTGGGGACATGGGGACAGCACAGTGCTAAGGGAAGGCCAGAGAGAAAGGAGGCAAGAATCGAGTCCTGAAGGGCTTGTGCCTGGGCCAGGAGGTTGGATTTACTTGCAACTCTCCAATAAGCAGAGTAATGGGGACCAGGCAACAGTGTAGAGGCACCAGCCAGAAAGGAGCAGTTCACTACATAACTGCGACCCCAGCAAGTTGGCAGGGATCACACAGCCATGTGATCTGAATTCAAAATGTCCCTCAAAGGGAACAGACTGGAGCCACCCTGGTCCTGCACCCCAATCCCCACAGGACTGGCGAAGGGCTGCAGTAACATGTCGGACTCCACCATTTTCGCCCTCTCTTAGGGTATTTAAAACAGTGCTGGCCAGGAGGAGCAGTCTCACTATTTAGAAACAGGGGCAGATTCCAGCCATCCCCACCCTTGGTTAAATCCTGATGTTAATCTCCTGGGAATGTTTTTTTTTTTCTTTCTGTTTATGTATTAAAAATCTCAGCCAAGAGGGTTTAGACCTTCTGTAAACTTGAAGGTATTTCTGAAGAATTAGGGTCCAACATGTAACACATTCTTCATCTTATTATCTCTAGCTTCCTGGGGTCTGATCAAAGGTCCCCAGGAAGAACTTTTTTCTTTTAAACAAAGCTCTTGGTGTGAGCCACTGCTGGACTTTGTCCACATTTTTTTTTTGGAGGCCTTGTAAAAATGCCTGTTTACACTCAAAACTTCCTCCTCATGTGTCTACAGACTCTTTCAAAAATGAAATCATGGCTTTCTTCCTGACTAAAGAGAAACCAGAAACATATTGTGCAGACAAATGACGTTCAAGTCTCCAGCATCCTGAAATCTGCCAAAGTAAACCTTAATATGTTCAATAAACAGGACCGCATATAGGAGGCTTCCCAGTGTCCCCTGAACTGCGCAGTGCACAGGCAGCTCTGGGCCTCTGGGAGTTAAGTCTGGGAATTCTCACACTGAACCTACCTGTTCACATTTTTTTACTTCAAGGATTAAAGCCTTCTTTGGCAGAAATCTTTTGAAGGCCAATAAGGCAGGCCACTTTTTGTTTTCTTCCTAATTCTTAGGACTAGAAGGGCCAGTTAGGATGTTCAGGACAAGGGAGAGTGGAGTGTCACCAACAACCCCCCCCACACACACACACACCAAACCTTACACTGCTGCTGCATGCTGCTGACTCTTGATATACTGAGATTGTGGACCTCACGCGTGCTAGGCAAACCACTAAACCGCATTCACAGCCCTAACTTCTGAAATCCTAGCTGTTCCTTCTGGCTGACGGAAGTGCTTGAACACGGTTTTGGTTCTGTGCTGGCCTAAACCTAAAATGATCGGGTAGTTCTAGGTCCTGGGGATACCTTGATTTACCTTAACAAAGAGGGTGATGTCGTGCTCCTGTCCTGGATCCCCTTCCTCCGATGCTGGGCCGTTCTCCCTGCGGCCGTTCACTCGCCCCAACTCTTCTCCACCTTGGGCGCTGGGCTCCTCGGCTAGGTGGTTGCTAAGCTCCTCCTGGGACTCCTCGTGCCCGGTGGGTTTGGCCTCCTCTCCATCAAGGCTATCGTCGGGGGATTTCTCTTGGATAGCCTCTTCACAGGGTCTCTTCAACCCGGGGTCTGGCCTCGCTTCTTCCTCCCCGGTCTCCTCCTGGAGCCTGGCCTGGTCCCCATTCTCAACAGCGTCTACCCTCACCTCCTCAGGAGTTGCTTCCTCGGACCCATCTTTCCCCAGGGTACCCACTTCCCCCGCGGCGTCTGCGGCCGAAGCGCCCGCCAGCTCCCCGGGCTCGTGCCCTTCGATCTCTGCGGCTGCAATCTCAATCACCTCATCCTGGTGCTGAAGGCTGCTTTCCCCTTCACCCTGGGGCTCACCCTCTGACCCGAGTGGCCCTCCTGCGGGTGCCTCTGTGTCCGTATTGTCCCCTGCAGATCCCTGGACTTCTGGGTTGATCTGCAACCCTGGCGCGCTGCCTCCCTGCGCTCCCTGACCGGATTCTGCCTCTTCCCCTGCCTCTGAGGCCATGGGGTCCTCTGGCTCCTGGCGAGCGTCCCCGGGGACCTCGGGGGCCTCACTCTGAGCTTCTAGCCCCGAGCTCATCTCCCGCACCTGCTGGGCGCTTGGAGCCTCCTCCGCTCCCTGCGGGATCCTGGCGGCCTCGGGGTCGCGCTCTGCAGCCTCCGCTTCCCCTGGAGCTCCGCTGGCGCCCGTCTCTGTCCCGGGGCCCGTGCGCGGGTCTTGCGCCTGCGCTCCCCCGATTCCCGCTTCCAGCCCACAGCCTCCTTCCTCCTTCCCCGAGGCTGTGGCCTCTGCGCCCGCCCCCAGGTCCCTGGGTGCCTCTGCAGCTCCCTCGCTTGCTTCCCGCCCCTCCAGGTCCGCAGCCCCAGGCTCTCCTGGTCCCCCTATCGCCGCACCTTCGGGTTGCCCCTGGGAACCCGGAGCGATCTCCTTGGGCTCCTTGGCCTCAGCCATGGTAAAATACCCTTACTCGACGCTGCTCAGGAGTGAGGGGCAGGGGCTGCCGTGCCCCTTCCAAGAGGACACCCCACTCTCGGCTCTGGAAGCGAAGGTTTCGCTTGATGCGAAATCCCGCGGACCCCAAGATTCTATGTCCCTTTTCCCTGGCTTAAAGTCTTTGGGTTCTTCCTCAAGAGTTCGTGTTTCTCCTAAATTCACACCCGGACCCCAATCCTTCTGTGCAGGCCAGGGTATGGGGCTAAAGAACTCAGCTTGCCTCTTGAACTCCTTCGAAGAGATGGGCTGGTTTGCTGCAGTCTCAAGGGTTGACCAGAAATCCTCAGAGGCAACTCTCCCCTCTTAGGGATTGGGCGGGGTTTGTCTTCCCCACCTCCCAGCCAGTTTGGGTGGCCTGGGAACCTAGCCAATGATAGCCTTTCTGAGGCTTTTGTGGATTTTAATGAAAAGACTGATTTTACTGGCCACTTTAGCGTCTTCTGGAACAGCATCAAGTTTCTGAGCCATTTAAAATCACGGTCACATACTTGAGGATGGAATTCCCGCCTTACCTCACTTCACCATGGAGGTGACGGGTTAAGCTCCTCTGGTACTGAGTGGAATAGACCCATCCTTGCATCTGGTTCCACAGAAAAGGTATAAACCCTGAAGGGAGGAATGGCTGCCCTCCCATTACTGTAGATTCCAAAAGCCTAAGGATGTTGGGAACAGAAGCCAGGGGAGCTTTTGGAAGGGGTTGGAAGAAAGGAACAGTAGCTAGGGGGCTTTTGGAGGACATTGGGGAAGTACCAGAAGGTTGCCTCTCACTTCTTCAGCTCCTGAAGACGAAGACGCTAAGAATCCAGTGCATGGGCCTCAATACTGTGGTAAGGGGTTTGGCGGTTGACGGTGAGAAGAGAAAATTCAGGGTGGGAAAGAGGGAAGAGTTATAGAACTGTGAGTTCCAGGACAGCCAGGGCTACACAGAGATACCCTGTCTCGAAAAGCCAAACCAAAAAAAAAAAAAAAAAAAGAGTTATAGAACTAACTGAGCAGGCGTCCCCAACGATCACCTGTCAGAAACTTCTTACAGAGAAGCAAGCTGTCCTGTGAGAGGACAAACATCAATTCTTCTAAAAACTATTCCATTGAACTGAAAAAGAAAGGACACCTCCCCAGCCCCCGCCAAGCTTACTCTGTGAGGCCTGCATTTCCCCTTTATCAAAGGACACACCAACTCCTGACCAATATTCCTGATAAATATAGATACCAACATTATTAACAAAACACCAAGGATTTGAATACAACGTGTATCAGAAAGATCATTCACCACTGGAGGCTGGAGGTTGCAATGGTGTTTCATTCAACACATGCAAATCTATAGACGCAGTGCATCATAATGGATGAGATTTTAAAAGTTATATGTGGGCTGGAGAAACAGTTCTGAGGTTAAGAACGTACGCCGCTCTTCAGGAGGAACTGAGTTTGATTCTCAGCACCCACATCAAATAGCTCACAACTTCAGTTCCAGGGGATCCAACACCCTCTTCTGGCTTCAAATGCCGCCTGCACTCGAGTGTACAAACCCCTGCACACTAACATACATACAGATGATTAAAAATAAAATAAATCTTTTTAAAAATATATGATGTGTTCACCTCAGTAGCTAGCACTTGCTAACATTCCACATCCTTTCACAATAAAAGCGTTTAAATGTCTTCACAGATGGATAATATCTCAACATAATAAAAGTTGGGGTGTTTGTTTGTTTGAGGCAGGGTCCCATGTAGCCTAGGCTGTCCTCGACCACACTATATAGCGGAGGATGACCTTGAACTTTGACCCTCCTGCCTTAGCTGAGATTGTGTCACCGAAGCAAGTCTTGATGAAACACTGGAGATTGAACCCAAGACTTGGATGGATGCTAAGCAAGCACCCAGGAAGGTGTTGCCTAAACATGATGGCGCAGTGGGGAGTTCAGTTTGACTTCTTTCTCTCTTACTGAGTTTGACTTCTTGCTCTGGCTGGGTTTAGCCATCATACCCACAGAGGATTTTGTTATCTTTACAAGAGAGGGATGTTTCTTGAATACATCTAGAAAGCACTTTTGAGATGCTAACACTTTGCTATTGTCATTTCCAGCCCCCAAAACTGTGAGCAATAAATTTTTTCCCTTATTAATCACTCAGTCCATGATCTTCTGTCAAAGAAGCACAAAACCAAGACAACAAGATAGATAAACACTCATATTCACAGCACATTTCTCTGAAGCTAAACTCTACCTAGAAAGCACAGGACCAAAGCCATAGCTTTGAATAGAGGCCACAAAACACTCAAAGCACATCACCCACACAGGTAACATAGCTGGACATGTCAGGTAGACCCTACATGGCTCCTGATGAAGGAATCCTGATGCACTCACCAGAGCAAGAACACATCTATCACTCATCTCTAAGAGGAGAATGAAGGCAGCAGTGAGGTCTAGCAGCAAACGGTACCTGTTCAAGTTCCTTTATGTAAATATTCAAGACCAGATGTACTGCAGAAACTGGAATTCTAAGAACAATGGTGGCAAAATATCTCATATCATATATTGCTTGACACACATGACCTACCACCCTGTCATCCAATATGGAGATAGTTTCTCAGTGTCACAGACAAATAGAACATTATGTAAGGAGTGTAGAAACCAGAGGAAATGGCTCAACCGATAAGAATACATTCTGTGCAAGCAAGAAGACCTGAATTTGAATCCCCAATACCACCTAAAAAGGCAGATGTGATGGCCACACTCGCACCTGTAAGCCCACCACTGTGGGAGACAGAGAGAGGAGAGTTTCTGGGGTTGCTGGCCACCTGTCTAACTTTGGGTTCAGTGAGACCCTGTCCCAAGGGAATAAGGTGGATTGATAGAGCAGGACATGTGAATATACATTACAACACACACACACACACACATACACACATACACACACACACACAAGCATCACATACATATAGCATACACATGCATATACATTACAATACACACATGCATATGCACACACCCAAAACCAAAATAAATACAAAAACTAAACATAACTTCTGAAACACACACACACACATACACACACACACATACACACACACACATACACACACACACACACATACACACAATTTAAGTTGACCCTCAAACAAGTTTCACTAAACTGGTTTTTCTTCAATGTTGAGTGCCCCCAAAAACCTCACAGTGTTTGAAGCTGTTGGGGATTTCTAAGTGTAAACAAGCATTATGGATATGAACCACTGAAGAACCATAGTTAGATTTGTTGCACTGTTTTGAAAAGTGTGAGCCTAGGTATATGTGAAGCTTCTTAATCCCAAGCCAGTGTTCTCTGAGTCTTTCACAGAACCATGGAGTGAGGGTCCGTGCCCACGTGAGTAATGCTATTTAATAAATGTTAACTCAAGTGACTGGGTCACGTGTCCTGATAGTCAGAGGGCTAACAGCTCAAGGAACTGTTGGATTATTTGTGGAGCTGGCGCCGGCCCAGGTGGGGCTGAATTAGAGTTAGTCTTGGTTGTGCCCTTGCAGAAAGGCAAGGTTAAGGAAGCACATTTTGTTGGGGAGATTGGCCCTGCATCTGCAAGCTGTTGTGGGCTTTGGTTTTGTTACTATTGGTTTAGATAGGGTATATATAGCCCGACTCCTGCACCCTAGCATCCTCTCCACCTGACGTCACCCTCTTCTGACATACAGTAAATTCTAGTTATTATTACATCTAGCCCATCTCTCCCCCACAATGCCCCTGTCTCCATAGCAATACCATTACCTAGAGCAGAACTAGGCGCATATTAGGATCTTGATAGAAATGTGTTGAATAAATAAATGCACACATCTTCAGATCCATGTTTTTCTATGCACCAATCTGAACTAGTTTTTAAAAACAACTGTTCTCCAACAACAACCCAGAGGACAAGACAAAGCATGAGATTTGCCGGCCACAAGAATCCTTATCTATTAACTCTGGAGACTGCCTCGGCCGATGTGTTAATTATTAGCAAGGGATAAGTTCTATAAGGAACCACTAAAGAAACTCCCCCCAAAAAAGCCATTAAGCCCATGTGAATCGGAAGCCACTGATACACACACTGTTAACAAGTCGCCATCCTGGGGTTAACTATTTGAATACTGGGAATCATTAAGCAGAGGTGGCAGCCTTCTGGACAGTGACAAGGGGCAAAGTTCTTAGTCACCATAGTGCCCCTGCCATACAGGATAAGTAATCACAGGGCTGCAGAACTCTGAGATTACAAAGAAAATGTCATAGATGTAGAGGCAAGTCTCTCTCTCTCTCTCTCTCTCTCTCTCTCTCTCTCTCTCTCACACACACACACACACACACACACAAACACACTCACAAAGACAAACACACTCACAAAGACAAACACACACAAGCAAACACACATACTCACACACATACTCTCACGCACTCACACACAAACACATACACACACAAACACACACACTCACACACATACTCACACACAAACACACACAAACACACATACACACATACTCTCACACACTGACACACAAGCACATACACACACTCACACACACACTCACACACACATACAAACACACACACACACACACAAAACCTTTCCCTCTCATAGTATCTGTAACATTCAGCCATAGGGTGAATTTGCTCACCCACCTTGTGATTTCTTCCACATTTCCCTCTCTTACGAATGGTTCCAAGATCACTTCTCTCTCTGCTTAGTTTTGCTCAATGGCAGAATTTGGCTCAGCGCTAGAAAGTTTACCTAGTTTGCACCTTGCACCTTAGGCTCATCCCAGAACCAGTGGGCAGTAGTGAATATCAGCACAGGACATGCTTAAACTAGGAAGCAGGGATTGTAAAATTGGTTAATCAGGAAGTCCTGAATGAATTCTGCAATATCATCTTTTTAAAAAAAAAATTATACAGAACAAACTTAAATGATAGCCATGGCAAAATGGGTAGATTCTCAGTCAGATTGCCGGAACTGAGTTCCTGCCCTATCTTAGAAACTCTGTGATTTTAATCCATCCTCCTTCTGGGACAGCGGTACTCCCGATAGGATCACTGTCATTGTGAGTGGCTGATAACCTATCAGTACTTTGCCTAGCATTTGCTATTGTTAGCAAGGTGACCTTCTTAGTGTTGTCTCAGACAACACTGCTATCACATCCTGACACAGTGTGTAATAAGTGCTAGGAAAGTCACCCCGGACTAGGGTGACCCTTTGTTATTTACCCAGTGATGGTTCTGGAAAGATGCCTGTGATCTCAGCAGCA